ACAGTGACTTCACTTACCGAAAGCAAGGAGTGCCAAGTTAAAACAAGCCAAAGAAGCTGGTCTGAAGTGACTTGTGTCATGAAAAGGACGAGAAAGGACTGAAGGTTTTTGTGCAATATTTACCATATTAGAAGTAAGCAGGTGGGCTGGGGAGAATCTAGTTAAGCTTACAGTTTAATGCCAAAACACCCTCAAAACCTAATTTATGTGCTTCAACTCCCCAGTTTTTATGCTGCCTCTTGCCAAGACAATTAAAGAATTCCTAGAGCTAGTCTGAATTTCCAGACTGGGTTTGGAATACGATACCCACTTCTGCAGGTGCAGAGAACACTCCAGCCTGTTCAGGTAGATTGGTGAGTCTTGGTGGTTTTATTGCTGGTTTATTTGATTTTTCAGGAGTCTGGAGATGTTGCTCTGAAGCACATTTGTGGTGCAGTTGCAGGTGTAGCCAACTGGGTTTTTGCTGCTTGCATGAATTGATGAACAGTAAACTTGAGGCTGGTGTTGCAGCACCTGTTTTCTAGAGTTTCAAGCCTCCTGTTTAACTCTGGAAAACTTAGGAGGAAGAATTTAGGTCCCTGTGTGGTGTTGATGTTCTTAAGATCTGTTTAACTATTTGTAACTAATTAAAATGCAAGAGGTGAAGGAATACCCTCGGGTCAGTTCAGAGAGGGCTTGTGCAGCTGAGTGAAGATCAGTTGTGGTAGAAGAACTCGGTGCATCCATCATGTCTGCAAAGAAAACCCAACCAGCACCTTGTTGCAGCAGCACTTGGCTTGTGCCGTTGTGCTCTGCCCTGGGTCACCTCATGGGGAGTGTGGGTGAAAGACTTGACTTAGCAGAGTTTGGACATGTTGAAACAAATTTGATGGCTTGAAACTTGTCTGAAGAATCTGCTGCTTGTCAGGTGACTCCTGAGGAGCTGCTCCACCTGTGACCCCTCAAAAAATCAAGACTTGGTTACTTTGATTATTTTTTTAATAACATCTTAACTCAGAGGTTAAATGACACATTGGCAGCTTATTGCATGTCAGAATGTGAAAGAGAAAGTGTGAACCTTTCTGTGGAGCTGGGAATCCATAGATCAAGCTGGGTGAGTGACAGCTCAGCCTCTACATGGAATTCAGAGCATCTTTGCCATGTTATAAAAAGCTTGCTGCCTGGTGCTGATCTGTTCCTCCAACACTGAGCTTTTTGTAACCTTTAAACTCTTAAGTATAGGGTAGGAATTTATCCAGTTAAAACCTGCATTTGTTTGAAGAGTTAACTCCTGCCTGGTCACCTCTGCCCCACATCTCCAGATCTCAGTTATTTGAATACCAAGGTGTGTGTCACTCACTGGGTAGGGAGGTTTTTCCTTTAGCAGAAAGAAGTAAATGTGACCTGTAGAGAGCAAGCAGCTGTGCCTGTCTTGCTACACCTTTCTCATTCTTCAATTTTGCTTATTTACGGTGTGGAACTGTTAAATTAGGATTTAGAGTTGGTCTGCGGGTGAGTTTTTGCCTGTGAAATTCTGGAAATACTTCTGAGATTAGTGTCTTAATTTCAACCTTATCTTGAAGTGGTGTGTTTTATGTTGTCTCTGATGTCAGTTTTACAGTCTTTCTTTTGGGGAGGAATGGGGAATGTCTCATCTAAAGTAGGCTGGGTGAATAACATATGCTGGAATATCTTAAAAATGAAGTGCTGGATGAAGTAGGTTGGATGGAAGGGTCTGAAAGCTTCAATTCTGAAGTAAGGAATAAGTCTTCTAGTTTGTCTACTTAGGCTTGTCCTACTTTGAAGCCTCACTGAATTTTCAAATGGAGAAGTAGCAGATTTGTTTGGTGTTGAACAGCAGGCTTGAATTATATCCTTTTTTAGTATTTTGAGATAGCTTGGTGTAAACCTTTCACAGAATTGCTGGTCTTACTGAGCTGGTGAGTTAAGTTCATCACAACTCAAATGTTCTTTCTCTTCCTTCCAGTCCTTTAACTCCTTGTCACAAGTGACAATGTTCCTTGCAGGCAGATTTGAGGTAGGAATCTGCAACTTTAGCTTTGTTAGTGTTGTGTCAGCCTTTGCATCCTCCAGGGTAAAGGTGCAGTCTTAGTGCCATGTTCAGACTGATACTCTGGAGGGGATTTTTAACCATTCTAGACCAGAGTTGCTGCAAGTAAAGCATTTAGCATGTATTTCTGCAGGGCTTTATTGTGTTTCTGTAGGTAAATGGTCCCTGTGCTGAGGTTGCTGGTTTACCTTCACTGGGCAGAGGATGTAGCCTGGGAAAGGTGCAGAGCAACAGGGCTGCTCCATGGATCCTGGGGCTCCATCTGCTTATGGCACTGGGATCTTGGGCTGACCTGCTGGCACAGGCAACCCTAACTGCTGAAAGGGTATCTACCACTGCCAACTTCAGATTATCCCTCAAAAATGCAGCTCCTGAAGCTGTTCTGTATCTGTGGTATTGCTTGAGATTTATGTAGGAAGTGGGAGCAGATGCTTTCCTTTTTCTCAGAGCTTTTATTAATTGTTAACTGAAACAGTTGGATTGCTCGGGTTTGTTTAGTATTTGTGGTAAGATTTGATACATTGCTTGATAAGTCCTCATGTGTTTTCCACAGATAACATATATTTATTCCTTGTGGGTTATGGAGTAGTGGGCTTTTGGATCTGTGGACGTTAAGGTGGTTGTGTTTTTAATCCAGCAGAGAGGACTAATGCACTGAAACTTCAGACTGGAGAGTTACTCAGTAACACTGTTTTTGTCACTGAGCCACTAAAAATAATGCTGAGAACTTAGCAGGACTAAATGGATGTTGTACAAAACACAAATGTATCTATTTCAGAGCCTCCCCTGGAGGTAATAAAGCCTTCAGTGGTAACTGTGCTCAGGCAGAGATTCCTCCTGGCTCTAACGAGATTGAATGTTGTTATTGATGTTCTTTACCTACACAACTAGGACCTGTAGTTGTTATTTGTGAGGTGATTTCCTGTGAGCAGAGTGATTCCCTGTCAGTTTACCGGAATGCTCAAAGGCAGGATTCACTCCCAGCGTCTCCCGAGGAGGGCAGAGCATGTGCAGGGCTGTGTGTGCCCGGGGTGAGTTACTGCAGAGCCCTGGCAGGTCCCTGCCCTGGGATCACGTATCCGTCTGGGAGGGAGAAGCCGCTCTGCCAGCACACTTAATCTATTTTTGATTCGTCAGGATCTCCAAGACAGAAACAAAAAGCACTTTGTGCTGGCTGGACTCGAGGACTGACACTTGAATGGCTCTTTCCATTGTCTGTTCACTGGCTTGTGAGTGCTCCTGCAGTGGAGCACATTGTTGTGGAGCAGCCACTTCAGTGCCGGGGCTCCCGGGCTTTGGGCTGCGGCGGGAGCGTCTCAGAGCAGCAGCTTCACAGCAGGCACTTGTTTGAGCGGTTCCAAGGTCAGCCTTGGCACTGCAACTCACTGAAGCTTCCGGGGCAACTGGTGGCCCTTCAGTGGAAGAGGTCAGTGCCAGGGCTGGCTCACTGCTGCCTTCATCCCTCCTGGCTGCTGTGGCTCCTTTCCCCGTCGAGTGAGAGAAGGGTATCACTGGAGGTACCTTTTGATCAGAAGCTCCACAGAATCTCTGGAGCTTTGGTGGACTCTCCAGGGAATCATTCATAATTATTTATGCTTTATTGCTGAGAGGATCTGACAGAATATTCTGGAAATACTGCAGTCCAAGTTCTAGTTATTTTGTTATAATAAACCTTTCTTCACTGCTAATCTCAAGTACCCAGATACAGGAAAAAGATGGAGTCTTTACCTTGTATAATTTTCCTGTGGCCGTTTTCTGAAGCTCTGATCATCAGTGTTTTTAATTTCTTACACACAGAGCTGTGTGAGAATTTCCCTGATACTTGCAGGTGATCATGAAGTATTTGGTTTATCTTGAAGTAGTTCAGCTTGGTTTCCTACTGTTAATTCCATGCTCTTTAGGTTTCTGTTTGCATTTACCTCTGTTAAGCAATAATAATTAACTCAAAGCATTGAACTGATGGAGTTATTGTGTTGGGGGAACAAACCAATAACCATAATGCAATAAGCATTACTGCAGCTTCCTGGTAATGAAAATTCCAGAAGTGGAGGACTTGATTTAATTTTTAAGCTTTGAGAGAATAGTAGTAGCGATAAAATGACTTTATAACTGATCTCACTTAGGCAGCTACTTAATACTAGGAAAAATCTTGGGGTGTGAGGAAGAATTATGGTTGGAAGAATCATACAGCTGTTGAGGATAAAAGCTGTTTATGTTAACAGAGGGAATGTCTGAGCTCTTGCTGTTCACATTTGAACCCCAACCTGCAGTGTGCAGCTATGTTTTTAAGTTACTGTTGCTTCCCCAGACAGTCTGGATGACATTGTTTACTTCCTTCTTGTGAGTCTATCTGGATGTATTTAAGCTGGAAACTGCAGAGTTAAGGACAGTTGGATATTCCTGTCCTCCCACCAGACCACACAGTTGAATTAAGAATCTATGTGTCTCCTGAAGTGAGTGTTCAAAATAGGTAAGAACTGCTCACTAAGGGATAGAATGTAGGACTTTTAAAAAGGGAAAATATCAGGCACAAAATCTGGCTTTTGATGAGGAGAATTTTCCTTAAGGTCTCTGGGGCAGTTTTTGGGTACAGCGGGCATGGCTGTGGCACTGAGGATGCTTCCAGGAGAGGTGGATCTCTCTCGGCTGCCGATGGCTTTGGCAGTTTTCGTGGCCTGAAAGGCTGATTAAGGAGCACAGCTGGAGCAGGAGTGCAGCTCCAGCCTCTGCAGGGCCCACGGGACAGCTCTGAGGAGCCTGGCTGTGTTGTGTAAGGCCAGCTCTGACTCAGTGCGAAGGGAAGCACGTGGTTGAACTTAAGCAGTATCACTGCACAAGTCAGAATGAGGGCTCACAGCCTCACCGGTTTGATCCCATTACCCTCTTAAGTGACATCACACCTCCAAAGCTTGTTTCTCACCTCACTCTGTGTTATTGTGCTTACTTTTAGGCACTGATTTCCAGCTGTGCAGGCTGAAGCACTGCTGTGTGCTCTGCAGATCAGCTCATGGGTGAGTGGGCACTGACTCAGACATTCCTGGGCACAGACGCTCTTCACGTGCAGGGAGATCCTGTTCTGTACCAGTTCAGAAGCTTCTGGTATAACAAACTTGCTCCAAAGCCAACTTCTCATGGTTTATCTTACTGAATTTTCTGTCCATTTTACAGATACTGGCATGGGTTATTGTATCTTAATGGGTATTGTATCGTGGGTATTGTATCTTAAATACTGGTGTTTTGAGCCACGGTTGAAGAATTGAAGATGAATGCTCATGGGACAACAGTGAGTTTGGAGGCTGGGATGCCTTAATGGCATTATTAAAGTGAGCTGAAGAGTTAACAGAGCCATTCTAAATATACTGGAGCATTGCAGTCGTGGCAGTGCTGTGATGCCAGGCCTGGACTATGAATACAACTTACATGTGCACACTCATGTGAGAATGACAGAACAGCACGTGCTGGGCTTGCAGATAGTGTTTCTTTCAGCATGATAAGGACTGTGGCACAATTGCCCTTTGCTTTTGACATGTCCCACAGCCCCAGTGCTGTGTGGCTGTCCAGGAGAGAGTGCAGGCTGCAGGGTGTGGGAAAATCACTCCTTAAAAAGAGAACACACCTCAGTTTGTGCTTGTGTTGAGTGTGACAGTGAATATGACATGTCAGGGAGATGGACTTCTCATGCAGATGGAAAACTAGAACCATCTCCCAGCTTTGGTCTCCCAGGCTTTCCGGTTTTTCCTCTTGCTTAGGTTTTTGGGTTGCTTGTGTACTAGTTTATTCCTCACCAGTCGGGTAGTTGGAGGGGAACACCTGGTAAGTAATACCTGCAGGCTCTGTAATGGATTGAGGTGAGCTGTTCAAATGTCTGCTGCTTTCTTGCTCCCAGCTGCACAACGTGAAGGAAGTTTAGGGTGTTTTGGACAGGAAGAGACACGTGTCCTAAGAGCCAAACTATCTGAAGGGCACTGCCCAGCATAGCTGTCCTGATAGCAGTGAGGATGGTTGGGAAATCAGTGAAACACCAGCTCTGAACACCTTCTTAAGCCACCTGGTCTCCTTGGCAGAATGAGTTCTTTAAACATACAAACTCTTCAGGCAATCTAAAGCTGGTTGTTACTGCAGGCAAATGTCTTGATGACCTGAAGGAGGACTTGTTCTTTCTTGGAGTTGTCCTCCTGTACTGGCAGGAGATGGGTGTTTTTCCTGTGAACATCTTCTGCCATAAGGCATCAGGTTCTCGAGTGAGAAGCCTTAGTTTAACTAAGTGGAAGTGAAGTGGCCTTGAATGCCAGAAAATGGGATTGCCAATGACTGATGAAGGACCTATACCTTGCTTTAGACTTCCCTTCAAATGTCCTGGGTTTCTGATGGAGTTTAATAGACAGGTTGACTTAGTACCAGAGACAAGTGGTGACTTGGAAGTGGGGTTGATGCTGTAAAGGTGGATGTAAGGCAAGAGGGAAAATGTGAAGAGCTGACATGCTCTCACTGCCTTGATTTCCAGACCTGTGCAAGGCCTGGACATTAAATGTGTGGTGCTAAAAACCTCTCCCTTGTGTGGAAGCAGAATGACAGGCTCCAGTTGCTCCCTCCTGCTGCTTTAATTCCTCCTAAGGCTGCTGAGGAGCAGCTTTGCTGCACGTTCTGGCAGTGCAGCCTTTCTCTGGGAACACCACTGCTGTAGCAGTTGAGTGAGCACTGGAAGGCTCAGTAAGTACCACTGGCTGGTTCTCAAGTCTGACATCATATCCAAGAATTAGATGGCTCCCTCTCACCATGGGGATAATGAAATAATTCCTACTGTGTTATTCATTAACTCACATTTCATTCAGTGGCTCCTAAGAGGATAACGAGTACATTAGAGGTGAACTTGTATAAGCCTTCTGACATCCTTTTGATAAGTTAAATAAGAGTTAAAGCTATGGCAGACAAAGCATGGCAGGGGGGCCTCACTGAGGGGCAGGTGGCCTGTGCTGTATTACACACACTGACTTAAAAACTAATTTAATGGCTTTTCTTCAATGGTTTAGAAAAATAGCCTGCTTCTAAAGGTGCTGGAGAAATAACTAGTGCCCAGAGCCAGCTGAAGGTCATCCTCAGTGTGGAGCCTGCTCCTGATTGAAGGGCTGTGTTCAGGTGATGTCCAGCCCAGCACAGCAGGGCTTCAGGGCAGATGTGGGAACCCAACAAATAAATGAAGGATCTGCAACAATCAAAGGGAGGGAAAAGCAGCCTGGTGAAGGAAGGACAGCTGCTCCTGATCCATATAAAACTTTTGGTACAAGAGCCTGTTGAGCCTTGCTGGGTTTCCAGTTTGAGTGTTAATGTAGCTTGTGTAAAATTTGAATCTCCCTCAAGTGTCAGTGTCAGGGACTCTTTCCCCTCAGCTTAGGTGCCATGTGCTGCTCCTCAAGGGAGCTTCAAAGAGGGAGGGATTGCATCAGCTGGTGAGGGATTTTTCACTAACATGATGTTCAGGACCAATAAAACTGGACAACTCTACCTCTGGCTTTAGGGCTTCTTAAAGGAGGGAATTGTATCAGGAAGAGTGTGGCAGCAGGAGCAGGGCAGTGATTGTTGCCCTGGACTCAGCGCTGGTGAGGCCACCCCTGCAGTGCTGTGTCCAGCTCTGGGCCCTCAGCTCAGGAAGGACATGGAGGGGCTGGAGCAAGTGCAGAGAAGAGCAGCGAGGCTGGGGAAGGGACTGGAGCACAAGTCCTATGAGGAGAGGCTGAGGGAGCTGAGGGGGCTCAGCCTGGAGAGGAGGAGGCTCAGGGGAGACCTCCTCACTCTCTGCAACTCCCTGACAGGAGGGGGGAGCCAGGTGGGGGTTGGGCTCTTCTCCCAGGAACCAGCAGCAGGACAAGAGGGCACGGCCTTAAACTCTGCCAGGGGAGGTTTAGGTTGAACATTAGGAAGGAAGTTTTTACAGAGTGCTCAACCATTGGAATGGGCTGCCCAGGGGTGGAGTCACTGTCCCTGGAGGTGTTTAAGGTGAGACTGGATGTGGCATCAGTGCCATGGGCTGGGTGACACGGTGGTGTTGGATCAGGGGTTGGACTTGATGATCTCAGAGGTCTTTTCCAATCTGGTTGATTCTATGATGTATTTTATGGGAATTGGATGTATTGACTCTTATGTGAGTCCTTGCTGACCTGGGCTCCCTGGTGCATGTGGCTGTGTCTGATGAAGCTGCTGCTCTGACTGGGAGTGCTGGTCTGTTCTGAAGGCTCGCCAGGAGTTTGTCTCCTTCCCAAAGGGGTTTGTCTGTGCTGTGCAACTGAGGCAATAAACTAATATAAATAAAGATTAAGCTGTTTGTGGGAGGAATGGTGATTGGATATTCAGATGCCCAACAATCTGTCTGATCTCTTGAGTGTTGCTGTGACTGTGCTGACATCAGTAATTCATCCCCACAGGTAATGACTGAGATCACTTTAAGCAGAGGCTGCAGTAGCCTCGGACATCTGAAGAAATCCAGAATTTCCAGGTGGCCCAATAAGATCTTAAATTACCTGGTATTTGTAGAAGCACTGGGTGAGGTGGCTTTATCTGGAAGAAGTTGTAGGTGGTGGTCTGGTGAGTCAGGTCAGTGCCATCCTGGAGAACCAGGTGTGTCCCTGCCCGGCTGTGGATTGTGGTCCTGGCTGGGAAGTTACTGGGAACCTTTCCAGCTGTGTGGAGAGTTATGGATTTGGTGGTGAGTACACAACTCCAGGCCTGGGTGCTCATCTCTGCAGCTCAGACCCCCAGCTAGTAGAGTTTCCAGGCACAGAGCAGAATCCTATAAAAATTGAGAGTATTTGAAAAACTGGACTTGGGACGTTGTTCTGGGTACCACAACTAGAAGGATCATTCTGATGCCTTGAACTCTTAGTTTTTCAGCCTTTAAAAATCCATTAGTGGCACTTAACATGTGGGGCAGTGTGAGAGCCCTGGAGAGCACTGTGAATCCTCAGCAGAAGGGGTGCTGTGGAATGAGCAGCACTGAGAGGATTGGCTGGACTCAGGACTCCACACTGACTACAGGGTTAAGGGAAAGGACTGTAATGAAAGTTCTGTGTTCAGGGAGTGTTGTCCCACCAAGTTCACTGGCTGAGGGTGGGGGTTTATGGGAAGGAAAGGATGGAGAAGGTAGTTAGGGATCATACATATGCCAAGAGAAGCTGAGCTAAAGCTTCACAGGTGATCACAGTGTTTGCATTTCCTAATGTGTAACTCTTCACTCCGTGCTTTTTATGTGTGACCACTTGAAGCTGCAATTACAGGTTGATTTCCATGGCATGAGCAGTGAAAATACCTGCTGGGTCATTAATACTCGGGGCTTTCAGCTTCACCTCCCTTGTTGACTTATTGTGCAACTCCATGGAACAGCCTAGCCCACAAATCCATCACCAAGGCACTGCAGCCTGGCAAGGACCTCTTCCCCTCCAGCAGCACTCACACACCAGTGCTCTGACTTCCTGAGGAAAATACCAAGAACTGAAGTAGTAAAACACCAAACCAGGTAATTGTGTCCTACCTGTCCCACCTTGGGGGATCTGTTTTCCAGCACCCAAAAAGAGAATTCTTCAGTTCAAGCTTCAAGTTGTTCAGGCTGAACACAGAAGTTTGGCTCCTGTATTCTTTGGTTCCTGATGGTATTTTTTTTTCTGGAGGCCTCACCATCAGGGAAGGCTTTGGGAACAGTTCTGTCAGCTGAACTCGCTGCAGAGGTGTCACATCTCCGAGCTCATGACACAGATGTGGTACTTGAATAAACATCCATACCTTAGATCCTTGTTCTTGGTTGACAGACTCCCCTAAGCTTGCCAAGGAAGCCTTCCTGCATAAAGATGTAATCTTTCATCCAGGAGTTGGGCTGTTTTGTGGCATTTGAATCTAAATGAGCAAAACTGTGTGCAGGCTCTTTCTGAAATACAAGACCTGAATGCTGAGGCTGTTCCTACAGCGAGCTGTCATTTATCTAAATTACAGATGCTTTTTCATCTCAGCTCTGAGCATTTGCTTC